CACACACACACACACACACACACACACACACACACACACACACACACTCTCTCTCTCTCTCTCTTTGAGCTGTATAGTAATTTAGCTGCTGGCATTCAAGATAAAGATTGAGTTGTGTTCTCTCCTGCATCCAGCCAGCCAACCAGCCGTTGGAAAGGTGTTTGGTAGATAGGTTATTTTTTATTTTTTATACCATATCTTGTTTCCACACCTCCTCTTCCCTCTCACTTCACACGGGCAATATGCCCTTCTGCTATAATTCCTTAAAATGCTTCTGGCTTCAGCTTGTTTGGCATCAAAACAAACCTGACATATGCAGTCAGTGTACAAACACGGAGAGTGATTAGCAGGCTGTCAATATGGTCAAATTGCATGTCATCTTGCCAGCTTGCTCACCAGTTGATTGCAACAGTACCTTTCATGGCTGCATCTTGGCTTGTTGAGTGATTCTTGGACACGATGTTATGAATGCAGATTTATAATTGCCGCTTGTACCTTCTGTAGATATGTTATCTGGATATTCTGACTGTCAGAATAAAATGAAGTTTATTTGTTGTGGCTACAGTGATTTCATTATTAAGGATGTTTGAGCTCTAAAAACAGCAATGCCAGCCTCATCAACAGAACTATGGGAGCCGCTGGCAGCTACATAAGTGACCCTGTCTGTATCATTATGTTCAGCAACGCAACATATGCTGCTGTGTTGTTGGTATGGAAACGCAAAGGATGGGTTTGACATTGTGGACATTTGCAGAGTTGGAGAATATCAACACCGCTCTCGTGTATGTAGCTAGTGTCAGCGGACAATTTTCTTGTAATTCATAATTTTTCAACATCTAGATTCTCCCGTTAATTCTGTAAAAGGGCAAAGCCACGGTTCACAGGTCTTGGGGCGATTACCTGCATGTGAAAAATAAAGTTGTACATCAGCCCACTGTGGCTGCAAAGGAAGCTATGCTAAGTCTAATACATTGCTTCAAGTGATGTCTTGAGTCAGAGTCAGTTGAGTCTTTTTGACTTTTTGTTTGAAAATGAAAAAAAAAAAGATTAACACAACTTGCCCAAAATCTCTAGGCTACCACACTAATGTGTCTCTAGGCCTGCTGTTTTGTATTTATATCATGCAGAACTACGGTTGGTGAAGTCAAATAGCTTAAGGCGTTAAGCAAAAGTCACTACAATGAGAAAAAACACTAGTACATTTCCTTCAACTCATGGTGTTCACGGCGTTCCTGCAAAAACAACAGGCGCATAGAGAAAAAAATATCAGGTGCTCAGCAAAGCAAAAACGGTGTGCAAAATGCTTCACTCTCATTAAAATAAAATGACTAAAAAAGCCACCCCAGGCCCAATATCATGTCAGATTTGGTTTCCACCAACTACTGAGCGAAATATCTGACTCTAAAGCTGTTAAATCAGAATCAGCTTTATTGGCCATGTATGCGAACGCATACAAGGAATTTAACTCCGGTTTTTACATTGCTGTCAACGTACACATACAGAAATTACAAATAAAACAAGGACAACAAAGTAGAGGTAAGCATAACATTTAACGACTATGTACAATATAAAAATATATCCAAAAGTATATATATATATATATTTATATGAACATAAATCTATACAACAACAATGACAATGGATCTGAGGTGATAGTGCAAATGGAGGTAATAGTGCAGTATGACTGAATAATTGTTCAGTCATAACTGGAGTGATGGCCAGTGGAAAGAAGCTGTTCCTGTGTCTGGTGGTTTTGGTGTACAGTGCTCTGTAGTGCCTACCAGAGGGGAGGAGTTGGAACAGCTTGTGTCCAGGGTGTGAAGGGTCTGCAGTGATGTTTCCTGACTCTGGAGATGTACAAGTCCAGGATGGAGGGCAGGCTGGCACCAATGATTCTCTCTGCGGACCTGACGGTCCGTTGTAGTTGTAGCAGTGTTGGGGGGGAGGGCTCTTCCTGAAGTCCACTGTCATCTCCACAGTTTTGAGCTTGTTCAGCTCCAGGTTGTTCTGACCACACCAGAGGACCAGCTGTTCAACCTCCCCTGTGTACGCAGACTCATCACCATCCCTGATGAGGCCAATGACCGCTTTGTCGTCTGCGAACGTCAGGTGAGGGTGAACCAAAACAGGTAGTCTGCAGACACTTCTGCCCTCATTCAAAAGTGTCGTCAAACAACAAGATCCAAAAGCTTGGTCCCAGTCTCTACGAACTGCTGTATGTAATGTGCAACATTACGTCAGTGATTTAGAAAAATAGTAATGAAGTGAGTTCATTCAAATAGAGCTCGCCAATAAATCAAAAACAACTCAATAACACCAGAGATGACAGTTTGCACAACTCCACTACTTCAGATCCATATAGTTTGTAATTCTTTGAATCAAATCAAACTCATTTTTACGCACCTTTGTATTGACCAGTATTTCATTTCACATTCACTGACGCCGACAGGTCACCTGTCAACCAATCACTGTGGACATCGGTAGTGAGTAGTGGCTAAATTGATTCAGAAGCACGATGTCTTCCATAGCAACAGGGATCAACCCCACCACGTCTCTGCTGTCCTAGATAATTTCATCTAGCAACCAGACACCAATGAGAGTCTTTGGGATTGAGCAGTCGTGACTGAGTGTGGGACTTTTGAGTCACTACATGATAACAGTAGACTTCAGAGTAAAAATTAGCTATTTTTTATTTGGGCATTTTTAAACACAGTATAAAACATCATTAAATTAAACATTAAACTTGTGTAAAGCTGTTCTTTGTTGTAAGGCCAGTCGTTAGTTATTTCAATACCGTTAACTTAAAATTAATCTGATAAAGGCTGCTAATCTTCTTGATGATTGTTGCATATGTTCGCAGTTGTTTTACACTCAAAATTTAAAGGGTCGATGATTCAGTGATGATAATGTGCTACATGTAGGACTTTTAACGACTGGCACACCCTGTCATGGTTGGAAGGCCCAATATAGAAAACAGGAACTGGACCCAAATGCAGACAGTAGAGGAGGCAGCAGAATGATTTTAATGATATAAGAAGCAGCTTACAGAGTCCAAATGAAGCAGGTCCGGCAGGTACGTAACAGGAAAATCCAAAGACCGTACAAGGAAAAACAAACAGGTAAACAACTCACTGGGAAAACTCCACCCGAGGAACACTTAACAAAGAACAAGGGAATTGGGCTAGTGTAATTAGTGAATGACTGATTAGGGAAGTTAGAACAGGTGAGCAGGAGCACTAAACGAGGGACAGGTGAAACTAATCAGGGCCGGGCAGACAATCAAAACAAGCAGGAAAACACACACAAGGCAGCAAGGGGAGTGATCTGAAACAAGAGGAGAGGTAAGTAACAAAATAAAACAGGAAACACTAGACATGAATATTATTGATTTATGAAACATAGAAAAACAGGGAGAAATATAACACACCCATTAGCTTGCATTACAATAACGGCTGATAAA